AAAGACTCTGGGATCGTAGTACTTCTTATTGGGCTTGTCGGCACCTTCAGGATTGCCAACTTGGTTCCTGACATAATCGGCCTTCGCGTTGAAGTAGTCACGGAAACCACTGCAGTACGCCCACTGAGTGTCAGTGTCAATGTTCATCTTCACAACACCGTGAGAGAGAGCCGTAGCGATCTCCTGCTTGGTCGATCCGGAACCGCCATGGAAGACGAAGAAAACGGGTCTGTCGCTCTCGAGTTTCAACTCCTTCTTCACATGAGCCTGGTGCTTGCCGAGAAGTTCCGGGTGCAACTTCACGTTGCCAGCCTGGTATACGCCGTGGACGTTACCAAAGGCAGCAGCAATGCTGAACAAATCGGTATACTCTGAGAATCTCTTGTAGATGTCGAGAATATCTTCGGGCTGGGTATAGAGGGCTGCGTTATCAACGCCCTCATTGTTCACTCCATCTTCCTCACCGCCAGTAATGCCGATTTCCATCTCGAGCAAACAATTAATCTTTGCCATCCGCTCCAGGTACTTGCAGCAGATAGAAATGTTCTCCTCCTTCGGTTCCTCAGACAAGTCGAGCATGTGCGACGAGAAGAGAGGCTCACCATGCTTGGCGAAGTACTCCTCATCAGCAGCAAGCATACCATCAAACCAGGGGAGCAATTTCTTGGCGCAGTGGTCAGAGTGAACAATAACCGGGATGCCGTAGGCAGGTGCCACCATTCGAACGTAGTGGGCTCCAGCAATAGCTCCAAGAATGGAGGCCTTCTGGTCCTTGTTATCTAAGCCTTTGCCGGCCATGTACGCAGCTCCTCCATTGGAGAACTGAATAATGATAGGAACATTCAATTCCTTGGCAGCATCCAAAACGGCGCAAACAGTAGAACTAGAAGTGCAGTTAATAGCAGGGATAGCAAACCCTTTAGCACGAGCGTAGTTCAAGACCTTACGGACGTTATCACCAGTTATCACACCGGCGGGTACGTTCAGTTCTTGAGAAATGCCCATGTTAGAATACCCCAAGAATGAAAATATAGCCTAATGTAAGAGCGGAGGGTGCAACAGGGCGTCACCCGCCCAACCCTCAAACCATTCTCCTAGTCCATTCCCCCAGGTATTTATCTACTTAATTATTTCTAAATGATTCATTATCCAAAAACGTTGAAAATTCTGGAAACTTTTAATATGTGTTCTCGTTCTTAAGGTCCTTGCAAGCCTCAATAACGCGCTTGGTCATAGTCTTTTCACCCTCACGAACAAAGACTCTGGGATCGTAGTACTTCTTATTGGGCTTGTCGGCACCTTCAGGATTGCCAACTTGGTTCCTGACATAGTCGGCCTTCGCGTTGAAGTAGTCACGGAAACCACTGCAGTACGCCCACTGAGTGTCAGTGTCAATGTTCATCTTCACAACACCGTGAGAGAG